GCCCTTCAAAACCCTCAGGTTGTTTTTCAGAGTCCATAGTCTCTCATGGCTCATCTCCCCCTCCAATTTCCCTCAACTCCCGTCTCCTCTCCATCTCCCCATGTCCTCCATGTCATTTGTTATGCTCCACAAATAAGTGAAACCATATGATAATTGACTCTCTCTGCTTGACTTATTTCACTCAGCATCATCTCTTCTAGTCCTGTCCATGTTGCTACAAAAGTTGGGTATTCATCCTTTCTGATGGAGGCTTAATACTCCATAGCGTATAGGGACCACATCTTCCTTATCCATTTGTCCATTGAAGAGCATCTTGGTTCTTTCCACAGTTTGGCGACCGTGGCCATTGCTGCTATAAACATTGAGTACAGATGGCCCTTCTTTTCACTACATCTGTATCTTTGGGGTAAATACCCAATAGTGCAATGGCAGGGTCATATGGAAGCTCTATTTTTAATTTCTTGAGGAATCTCCACACTGTTCTCCAAAGTGGCTGCACCAACTTGCATTCCCACCAACAGTGTAAGAGGGTTCCCCTTTCTCCACATCCTCTCCAACACATGTTGTTTCCTGTCTTGCTAATTTTGGCCATTCTAACTGGCGTAAGGTGGTATCTCAATGTGGTTTTAATTTGAATCTGCCTATGATGGGAGTCACCCTTGACGGCTAGTGATGATGAATATTTTTTCATGTGTCTGATAGCCATTTGTATGTCTTCATTGGAGAAGTGTCTGTTCATATCTTCTGCCCATTTTTTGATATGATTATCTGTTTTGTGTGTGTTGAGTTTGAGGAGTTCATTATAGATCCTGGATATCAACCTTTTCTCTGTACTGTCATTTGCAAATATCTTCTCCCATTCCGTGGGTTGCCTCTTTGTTTTGTTGACTGTTTCCTTTGCTGTGCAGAAGCTTTTGATCTTGATGAAGTCCCAAAAGTTCATTTTCGCTTTTGTTTCCTTTGCCTTTGGAGATATATCTTGAAAGAAGTTGCTGTGGCTGATATCGAAGAGGTTACTGCCTATGTTCTCCTCTAGGATTCTGATGGATACCTGTCTCAAGTTGAGGTCTTTTATCCATTTCGAGTTTATCTTTGTGTACGGTGTAAGAATATGGTCGAGTTTCATTCTTCTGCATATAGCTGTCCAGTTTTCCCAGCACCATTTATTGAAGAGACTGTCTTTTTTCCACTGTATATTTTTTCCTGTTTTGTCGAAGATTATTTGACCATAGAGTTGAGGGTCCATATCTGGGCTCTCTACTCTGTTCCACTGGTCTATTTGTCTGTTTTTATGCCAGTACCATGCTGTCTTGGTGATCACAGCTTTGTAGTAAAGCTTGAAATCAGGTAATGTGATGCTGCCAGTTTTATTTTTGTTTTTCAACATTTCCTTAGTGATTCGGGGTCTCTTCTGATTCCATACAAATTTTAGGATTATTTGCTCCAGCTCTTTGAAAAATACCAGTGGATTTTTGATCGGAATGACATTAAAAGTATGGATTGCTCTAGGCAGTATAGACATTTTAACAATGTTGATTCTTCTAATCCAAGAGCATGGAATGGTCTTCCATCTTTTTGTGTCTTCTTCAATTTCTTTCATGAGTGTTCTGTAGTTCCTCGAGTACAGATCCTTTACCTCTTTGGTTAGGTTTATTCCCAGGTATCTTATGGTTCTTGGTGCTATAGTAAATGGACTCGATTCTCTAATTTCCCTTTCTGTATTTTCATTGTTAATGTGTAAGAAAGCCACTGATTTCTGTACATTGACTTTATATCCTGCCACATTGCTGAATTGCTGTATGAGTTCTAGTCGTTTGGGGGTGGAGTCTTTTGGATTTTCCATATAAAGAATCATGTCATCTGCAAAGAGAGAGAGTTTGACTTCTTCCTTGCCAATTTGGATACCTTTTATTTCTCTTTGTTGTCTGATTGCTGTTGCTAGGACTTCTATGTTGAACAAGAGTGGTGAGAGTGGGCATCCTTGTCATGTTCCTGATCTCAACAGGAAGGCTGCAAGCTTTTTCCCATTGAGGATGATATTTGCTGTGGGTCTTTCATAGATAGATTTTATGAAGTTCAGGAATGTTCCCTCTATACCTATACTTGGAAGCGTTTTAATCAGGAACGGATGCTGGATTTTGTCAAATGCTTTTTCTGCATCAATTGAGAGGACCATGTAGTTCTTCTCTCTTTTCTTATTGATTTGTTCTATCACATTGATTGATTTGCGAATGTTGGGCCATCCTTGTAACCCAGGGATGAATCCCACCTGGTCATGGTGGATAATCTTTTTAATGTGCTGTTGGATCCTGTTTGCTAGGATCTTGTTGAGAATCTTTGCTTCCATATTTATCAGTGATAATTGGTCTGAAATTCTCCTCTTTGGTAGGGTCTTTGCCTGGTTTGGGGATCAGGGTAATGCTGGCTTCATAAAAAAAAGTCTGGAAGTTTTCCTTCTGCTTCAATTTTTTGAAACAGCTTCAGGAGAATAGGTGTTATTTCTTCTTTGAAAGTTTGATAGAATTCCCCAGGGAATCTGTCAGGTCCTGGGCTCTTGTTTTTTGGGAGGTTTTTGATCACTGCTTCAATCTCATTACTGGATATCAGTCTATTCAGGTTGTTTCTTCCTGGTTCAATTTTGGGAGTTTATAGTTTTCCAGGAATGCATCCATTTCATCTAGGTTGCTTAGCTTATTGGCATATAACTGTTGATAATAACTTCTGATGACTGTTTCTACTTCCTTGGTGTTAGTTGTGATCTCTCCCCTTTCATTCATAATTTTATTAATTTGGGCTTTCTCTCTTTTCTTTTGAATTAGTGTGGCCAATGGTTTATCGATCTTACTGATTCCTTCAAAAAACCAGCTTCTAGTTTCATTGATACGTTCTACTGTATCTCTGGTTTCTACCTCATTGATCTCTGCTCTAATCTTGATTATTTCCCTTCTTATGTGTGGAGTTTGTTTGATTTGTTGCTGATTCTCCAGTTCTTTAAGGTGTAGAGACAGCTGGTGTATTCTGGATTTTTCAATTTTTTTTTGAGGGAGGCTTGGATGGCTATGTACTTCCCCCTTAGAACCGCCTTTGCTGTATCCCATAGGTTTTGGACTGAAGTGTCTTCATTCTCATTGGTTTCCATGAATTGTTTCAGTTCTTCTTTGATCTCCTGGTTGATCCAAGCATTCTTAAGCAAGGTGATCTTTAGCTTCCAGGTGTTTGAGTTCCTTCCGCACTATTCTTTGAGATTGAACTCCAGTTTGAAAGCATTGTGATCTGAGAATATGCAGGGAATAATGTCAGTCTTTTGGTATCAGTTGAGTCCTGATTTGTGACCCAGTATGTGGTCTACTCTGAAGAAGGTTCCATGTACACTTGAGAAGAATGAGTATTCTGTTGTTTTAGGGTGGAATGTTCTGTATATATCTATGAGGTCCATCTGCCAATATGTCATTCAATGCTCTTGTTTCTTTATTGATTTTCTGCTTCGATGATCTATTACTGAGAGAGGTGTGTTAAGATCTCCTACTATTAATGTATTCATATCAATATGACTCTTTATCTTGATTAATAGTTTTCTTATGTAACTGGATGCTCCCATATTGGGGGCATAAATATTTATAATTGTTAGATCTTCTTGGTGGATCATCCCTTTAAGAATTATGTAGTGTCCTTCTGTATCTCTGACTATAGTCTTTAGTTTAAAATTTCATTTATCTGATATGAGAATCGCTACCCCGGCCTTCTTTTGAGGCCCATTGGCATGAAAGATGCTTCTCCATCCCTTCACTTTCAGTCTGGGTGTATCTTTAGGTTCAAAATGGGTCTCTTGTAGACAACATATGGATGGGTCCTGTCGTTTTATCCAATCTGCAACCCTGTGTCGTTTTATGGGTGCATTTAGGCCATTCACATTGAGAGTGATTATTGATAGATACGTTTTTATTGACATCGTTTTACCTTTGAAGTCTTTCTTTCTGTAGATTGTCTCTATATTTCTGTTCAATTATATTTTTAGGATTTTTTCTCTTTTATAGAACCCCCCCCTTAATATTTCCTGCAGTGTCGGCTTGGTGGTTGCATAGTCTTTTAAGCCTTGCCGGTCTTGGAAACTCTTTATCTCTCCATCCATTTTGAATGTCAGTCTTGCTGGATAAAGTATTCTTGGCTGCATGTTCTTCTCATTTAGTGCCCTGAATATATCTTGCCAGCCCTTTCTGGCTTGCCAGGTCTCTGTGGACAGGTCTGACATATTCCTCTGTACGTAAGGAGCTTCTTTGTCCTGGCTGCTTTCAAGAGGGTCTGCCTACAATTATAATTCCTCATTCTTACTATCAGGTGTCTTAAGGACTTTCGAGAATCTATAATCTTGGGGGGAAACCGTTCTGCCTCTAGTACATGAACACTGGTTCCATTCATGAGATTGGGAAAATTTTCATGGACAACTTGTTCCACTATATCTTCTAGACTTCTTTCTTTCTCCTCCCCTTCAGGGATTCCAATAATTCTGACGTTGGAATGTTTCATGGCATCATTTATTTCCCTGATTCTGTTTTCATGGCTTCTAAGCTGTTTGTTCCAGGCTTCCTCCTGATCCTTTCTCTCTATCTTTTTTTCCTCCAGATCACTAATTCTATCTTCTGTCTCAGTTACCCTAGCTTTTAGAGAATTTAGATTAGATTGGAACTCATTGAGAGCATTTTGAACATCATCCCTGGTGGCTTTCAGTTCTGCCCTAATCAATTCCGTTTGGTCATCCATGGCTTTCTTCAACCTAGCTACTGCCTGGATAATTGTTAGCCTGAATTCCCTTTCCAACATATTGTCTATGTTGATAGCCATGAGCTCTGTTGTAGAAGGCCCATCCTCTGTATTTTTCTTCTGTTGGGCATTCCTCCTCCTAGTCATTTTGGTGAGAGATGACTGATCAGATGTAGCTGGATGTATCGACCATGGTGCAGTCAAGGTGCACCCTGGAATGCTTCTGAGCAATCAGGATTCCCCACCCAAATGAGAGAAAAAAGAAAAGAAAAAAAAGAGAGAGAGAGAGAGAGAGAGAGAGAGAGAGACAGGAAAAAAAGGGAAGATAAAAGAGAAGACTCAGCCCAAATGGGCCCCAAGGTAAGATTTATGAAGTATACAAACCAAAACAGACAAACAAAAAGACTGATAAAAGTATATGACAAGAGAAAAATTTATACACACACACACACACACACACACACACACACACACATACACATAAAAGCAAAAAAAGGAAGAACCTCGTCAAAAAGAACCCCAAGTATAAGATTTATATACTATCAGGACAAACACAAATACACAGAAACACTGGCGGAAGAAAAAGATGGGAGAGTGGTTATAAATTCTCAGTGTGGGCGAGGAAGGTTATTTTGATTCTTCCTGGATGTATCTTGATATCTTTGTTAAAGGACTCAACTTTCCTAAGATAAAGGGGGATTAAGAATTGGTATACCTATAGGGGTAGCACTGACTGGGGAAAGGGGATTACCTTGAAGTTTAACTCTATATGAATATTAGAAAATAAAAATAAAAAAAGAATAAACTAGACTAAACTAAAAAAAAAAAAAATATGCAACACTTCACGAATTTGTGTGTCATACTTGCGCAGGGGCCATCCTAATCTCTATATCATTCCAATTTTAGTATATGTGCTGCCGAAGCCAGCACTCTTCCTTTGTATTTTTGAAGTGGTCTAATATATCAAAAGAGAAATAAATAAGCTGAATTTTTAGTGGCAGTTTTTCCAGAGTTTTTGTTTAGTTTTGTTTAGAACAATGAGGTAGTGTATATGGCACATCATGAAATAATACACAAACTCCTGGAGAATATGTGACATCTAAGGAGAACTTACTATAAAGCAGTAACTTCAGGGGAAATATTAAAACATAAAATAGGGGTGTCTGGGTGGCTCAGTGGTTTAAAGCCTCTGCCTTCGGCTCAGGTCATAATCTCAGGGTCCTGGGATCGAGCCCCACAACGGGCTCTCTGCTCAGCAGGAGCCTGCTTCCTCCTCTTTCTCTGCCTGCCTCTCTGCCTACTTGTGATCTCTGTCTGTCAAATAAATAAATAAAATCTTAAAAAAAAAACCCAAAAAACATAAAATACACAGAAATAATTATTGTAAACAGTACTATTACTATTGGGAGTGGTTTGTCAGTTGGGTTTGATTTTATACCAGACCACACTTTGGGGTATTCAGGACCTCATATGGTTCCCTCCCATATACTCTGGTCTTGGCCACATGACTTGTTTAGGATATTACCAAGTGTGATGCAAAACAAAAGCTTGATAAAAGTTTGCACATTGGAATTTTATCTTGGAATGCTCATTCTTGGAAGCCAGCTACCATGCTGTAACGAAGCTGGGGCTAGACTACTAAATAATGCAATGGAAAATGGAGAGAACCCATCATATAAGAAGCCATCTCGTACATTCTGTCCAGCTGAAGACTGAGGTGAAGGCAGCCGTCTGAATGATCTCAGCTACACCAAACAGACCAGAAGCACCACTACAGAGTTAACACACAAAATTTTGAGAAATGAGCTGTCACTGCATTGGACCTCTAAGTTTTAGGTGGTTTGCTATACAGCAATAGATAAGTAAAACAAATTTATTTAAAAAGCTAATTACTTTTAAAATTCATCAGTACCTCAAAATGCTCCTTGATAATGTAGGCATTTGCAATTTTAGCCTTGATGCCTTCATAATCTCCAACATCACTAATACAGATTGCATACCACTAAAAACAGAAGAAAAATACATGTAAGAATAATATAAGAATATAATATAATAATAATAGATAAAATAAATTCTGATGCCAGAATAAAAGCTAGGTCTCCTGATAATAAAAAAATAAATAAAATAGATAAAATAATATAAGAATATAATCTACTAATATTCCATTCAATACAAGGTAAAACTGAATACTTATTCCTCAGTAGTCATTCTCATTAAGCAAAAACTTACAACCTTGAGATCAAGGTTGGGAATATATTAGGCTGTAAAAAAGTCTCAAGTTTTAAAAGATAGAAACCAGAGTATATTCTCTGACCACAGTGAAACGAAAATATTTTAATAAAAGAAGGAAATATGGATAATTCATAATTATGTGGAAATTTAAAAATCCTAGGATAGCTTAGTGGGCTAAGTGTCCTACTCTTGGTTTCAGCTCAGGTCATGATATCGGGGTCATGGCCCTGCGTCCGGCTCTGTGCTCAACAGGGAGTCTGCTAGAGATTCTCTCTCTCTCCCTCACCCTTTGCCCCTTCCCCATCTCTCTCACTCGCTCTCTAATAAACAAATCTTTAAAAAAAAAACAAAAAAACAAAAAAACCCACATTCCTAAATAACCAATGAGTCAAGTAAATCACAAGGAAAATTTAAAAATCCCTTGAGAAGAACAAAAACAATACGACATAACAAAACTTAAGGGATTCAGCAAAGTTGTATTCAGAAGGAAACTTCTGGCTATAAGCTACCTTAAAGAAAGTTACCAGTCAATAACTTCACCTTAAGAAACTGGGAAAAGGGGGCACCTGGGTGGCTCAGTGGGTTAAGCCTCTGCCTTTGGCTCAGGTCATGATCTCAGGGTCCTGGGGATCAAGCCCTGCATCAGGCTCTCTGCTCAGTGGGGAGCCTGCTTCCCCCTCTCTCTCTGCCTGCTTCTCTGCCTACTTGTGATCTGTCAGATAAATAAAATCTTAAAAAAAAAAAAAAAAGAAACTAAGAAAAGAGCAAACTAACCCAAAGTAAGCAGAAGGAATGGAATAATGAAGATTAGAGTAGAAATAAATAAAATAGAGGAAAAATGGGGAAGAGTAGCAAAACCAAATTAATTCTCCGAAAGGATCAACAAAATTTACAAGCCTTTAGCTAAACATAAAAAGAAAAAAGAAAAATTAATAAAATGAGGACTCAAAGAATACATCTATTATTACTAACCTCAGTAATAAATCTAGGAATAAAAAAGATTAAAAGGGAGTAGTAGCAACACTGTACGGGAACACATTAAGTGATCCACCAAACATGAAAAAAAATTCCTAGAAACAAGAAACAATCCAACTGACTTAAGAATAAACAAAAAATCTGACAAACAAATAATAAGTAATCTACAGAGTTAGTAATCAAATGAATTTCCAACAAAGCAAACACCAGGATCAAATGGCTTCACTGACAAATTCTACCAAATGTTTAAAGAAAATTAACACCAAGCTTCTCTAAACTCTTCCAAAAAATAGGAAAACAATGAACATTTCTTAAGTATTCTCTGACACCAATGTTACTGAAACCAAAACCATCACAATAAAAGAAAAGAGAGCTGCAAAAACTCTCAATAAAATACTAATAAATTGAATTCAGCAGAACATTAAAAAAATCATTCACCACAACGAAGTGGGATTTATCCCTGGAATGCAAGAATAATTCAACATACATGAACCAATCAATGTGATCCATCACATTAATAGAAAAAAAAATCTTATGATCATTTTGATACAGAAAAAACATTAAGACAAAACTTGACATCCATTCATGGTAAGAACTCCCAATAAATTGAATTAGAGACAGAAGGAACATATCTAAACAAAATAAAGACCATATGTGATAAATCCACAACTACCATCACACTCAATGATGAAAAGTTGAAAGTTCCTCTAAGACCAAGAATAAGACAAGGGTGCTGGTGCTCACTCTTACCACTCTCATTCAACACAGTACTTTAAGTCCACCTAGAGCAATCAGGCAAGAAAAAAAATAAAAGGTATCAGATTTGGAAAGGAAGAGGTAAAAATGCCTCTATTTGCACATGAGATGATTTTATACATAAGAAGTACAAAAGACTCAACAAAAAAAGCCTTTTGATCAATAAATTCAGTAAAGCTGCAGGATATAAAATTAACATGCAAATATCAGTAGCAATTCTATAACCTAACAACAAATTTTCTGAAAAAGAAATAGTTCCCATTTATAAGAGGATCAAAACCAAATAGGAATAAATTTATATAAGAAGATGAAAGATCTCTACTCTGAAAACTTCAGCATGATATTGAAAGAAATCAGATATAAGTAAATGGAAAGATAACCCACGTTCATGTACTGTAAGAATTAATATTGTTAAAATAGCAGTATTACCAAAAGCCATCTATAGACTCAATGCAATCCCTATCAAGATATCAATGACAGTTTTTACATAAGTAGAAAAAAACACCTAAAACTTACAGAGAACCACAAAAGACAGAGAATAGCCAAAGAAACCCTGAGAAAAAAGAACAAGCTAAACTACAAAGCTACACTCATTGAAATAGCATAGTATTGGCATAAAAACAAATAGACAAATGGAACAGAACTGAGAACCCAGAAATAAATCCAAGAATATATAGTCAGCTAATATTTGACAAGGGAGCTAAGAATATTCAATTAAGAAAGGGCAGACTACAAATATAGCACTGGATTATTGGATATTCACATGTAAAGGAATAAACTAGACACATCTTATACCACTCACAAAAAGTAACTCAAAATGAGGTAAAGGCTTAAATTTAAGACCTGAAATTATGAAACTCCTGGAAGAAAACAGGAATAAAGCCTCTTGACATAGGTCTTGGTAATGATTTTTTGGATATGTCATCTAAAGCACAGGCAACCAAATAAAAAAGGACTACATCAAGCTAAAAAGCTTCAGCAAGGGAAAAGAAACCATCAACAAAATGAAAAGGCCTACCGAATGGGAGAAAATATTTGCAAACAATATATCTAATACAGGTTTAATACCTGAATTATAATTCATACAATTACATACAATTCAATAGCAAAAAACCAACAATTTAAAAATGGGCAGAGAAATGTCCTAATAGACATTTCCCCAAAGAAGATATTAGAAAGGCCAACAGAAGATACACAACATCAATAGTCATTAAGGAAATGCAAATTAAAATAGCAATGAGGTATCACCTCACCCCTGTTAGAATGTCCACCATCAAGAGATAAATGCTGGTGTGGATGTGGAGAAAAGGGAACCCTTATGCACTGTTCAGATTCTAAACTGGGATAGCCAATCCTCAAAAATTAAAAATACAATTACCATATGATCTAGCAATTCTACTTGGAATTTATAAAAAACAAAAAATGAAAACACCTACTTGAAAAAATATCTGCATCTCTATGTTCATAGCTCGTTTGCAATAGCTAAAATGGAAACAACTTAAGTACAGATCAACAAATGATGGATAAATTAGTTGTGCTGTATGTATACACACACATACACACACAATGAAATATTATTCAACCATAAAAAATAAGGAAATCCTGCCATTTGTAACAACATGGAGGGACTCTGAAGGCATTATGCTAAGTGAAATAAAAATACTGTATGATCTCATTTACATGTAGAATCTTAAAAAAAACAAAATCGTAAGACTTGTGGTTACCAGAGGTAGAGAGCTGGGGGAGGAGGAATTGGAGCAAGGTGGTCAAGAGGTACAAACTTCCAGTTATAAGATAAATACAGTTGAACAACACAAATTTAAACCATGCAAGAGCCACTTATACACAGATTTCTTGTGAGAAATATAGTAATGTAAATCTATTGTCCTTTTCATTTCTTTTGGAATATTCTCTTTTTTGTAACTTTATTGTAAGAATACAGTATGTAAGACATACAAAATATGTACTGATTATTTGTTATCAAAGCTTCCAGTCAACAGGTTATTATAGTTGTGTTTTTGGGGAGTCAAAAGTTCTATGTGGATTTTCAACTGCACAGGAATCAGCGTCCTTCTCCCCATGTTGTTCAAGGGTGAATGGTATTATGGATGTAATGTACAATGTGAAGACTACAGTTAATACTGAAATATGATATAATAGGAAAGTTCATAAGAGAATAAACTCTAAGAGTTCTCATCATGAGGGAAAAAATTTTTTTTCTTTCTTTCCTTTTTATCACATCTATATTAGAAGATAGGCATCAGCTGAGCCTACTGCAGTAATCATTTCACAATATGTGCAAACCAAACCATCATGCTGTATGCCTTAAACTTACAATAATGTATGTCAATTCTTTCTCAATAAAATCAGAGGAAAAAAAAAAAGAACTGAAGAGTAGTGTCTCTTATGATGCAGAATTCAACAAAATAATGGCAAGTTGAATTCAGCAGCAAATGAAAAGGATTACACAACATGACCACATGGGATTTATCCCAAAATACAAGGGTGGATTACCATATGAAAATTAATTAATGCAAGATACCACATTAATAGAATGAAGGGGGGAAAAACCAACATGATCATCTCAGCAAACACAGAAAAAAGCATCTGACAAAAATCCAACACCCTTTCATGATAAAAACATTCAACAACTAGGAATGAAAGGGAACTTTCTCAATCGATAAAGAGCATTTATGGAAAACCCACAGCTAACATCATAGCAAATGGTGAAAGCCTAATAGCTACCTTCCTATAATCAGGGACAAGACAAAGATATTCACTCTTGTCACTTCTACTCAACACTGTACTGAAGTTCTAGCCAGGAAAATTGAGCAAGATAAAGAAATATTAGGTGTCCAGATTGGAAAAGAAAAAAAACTATGGATAATTTATAAACATGTTGATAATATAGAAAAAAACTAAATAATCTACAAAACAACCAATAGAACCAATAAATGAGTTAAGCAAAGCTATAGGACATAAAATTAATATACATTAATATACAAGTATTAGTTACACTCCTATATGCTAGCAATAAATGATCTGAAAATGAAATCAAGAATTCCAATAGCATCAAAAAGAATAAAATACTTAAAGAATAAATTTAAATCCAAAGAAGTACAAGACTTGAAGACTGAAAATTACAAAACAGTGTTGAAGGAAGAAAAAGATCTAAATAAATGGACAGACAAGATGTATCTGTGGAGGAAGACACAATGCTGTTAGGATGGCAATACTCCTCAAACTAATCTACAGATTCAATATAATCCCTATCAAAAACCCAACTGGCAAATCGTGTTTCTAACCAGAGAGTAAATGCCAGAAAATATTCTTAAAACTCAACAATAAAAAGACAAACCTAGTTGAAAAAAACCTGGTTGAAAAAAAAACAAAGAATTTGAATAGACATTTCTTCAAAGAAGATATACAAACGTCCAATAAGCACATGAAAAGATGCTCAATATAATTACTCATTAGGAAAACGCAAATCAAAACCATACACTTCCCACCCACTAGTTTTAACTTTTTTAAATGGATAATTACAAGTGTGACCAAGGATGTGGAGAAACTGGAACCCTCACACATTGCTAGTGGCAATGTAAAATGCTATAGGTCCTTTAAAGAACAATTTGACAGTTCTTCCGAAAGAATTACATAGGGGCACCTGGCCGGCTCAGTTGGTTAAGCGTCTGAGCTAAGCGCCTTCAGCTCAGGTCATGATCTCAGGGTTGCGCAACTGAGCCCTGCATCAAGCTCCCTGTGCATTCAGCAGGGAGTCTGCTCACTTTCTCTCTCTTTCTGCCCCCCAAAATAAATAAACCTTTAAAAAAAAAAAATAGAATTACATATGACCCAGCAAATCCATTCTTAGACATATACTCAAAAGAACTGAAAACAGGTATTTAAAAAATACTTATACATGGATGTATATTTATACTATAAACAATAGCCAAAAGTGTGGAAATAACCCAAATGTCCATCAACTAATCAATGGGTTAACAGAATATGATATATCCACAAAGGAATGTTATTCTTCCACAAAAAGGAATAAAATATTGATGCATGCTATAATGTGGATGGACCTCAAAAACATGGTAAGTGAAAGATGTCTAACCACAAACGATCCCATACTGTATGATGCCATTTCTATGAAATATCCTGAGTAGGTAAAGCCATAGACACAACAAGCAGATTAGTGATTGTCAGGGTAGTAAGAGGGAACAGAGAGTGACTATTTAATTGGACTTACTGGGTTTCCTTCTGGGGTGATAAAAATGTTCTGGAACTAGAGGTAATGGTTGTACAACACTATAAATGTATTAAATGTCACTGTATTTGTGCACTTATAAAATGGGTGATTTTATGCTGTGTGAATTTACCTCCACAAGAAAAAAAATAAAAGCAAATGCTCGCACAAAAACTTGTATACAAGTTATATACAATTGTATGTAACAGCCAAAAAGTGGAAATACCCCAAATGTTCACCAGCTGATGGATAAACAAAACTGGTATATCCATACGATGGAATATGAAGTACTGTCACATGATCAATATGGATGAACCCTGACAATATTATGCAAAGGGAAGGAAGCCAGACCATACAGGCCACCTATTGTAATTCCATTTATATGAAATGTCTAGAATAGGAAAATTCATTGGGACATAAAGTAGATTAGTGCTTACCAGGGGACAGGTGTAGGGGAGAATTGGGATTAACTGGCAGAAGGTATAGGGTTTGTTTTGGGGATAACAGAAATATTATGGAATTAGTGCTGATGGTTGCACAACACAGGGAAAATGTGAAAAACCACTGAAGTATATGCATTACAATGATGAATTTTATATAATGTGAAGTACATAAGTAAAACTAAAAGCAAGACTTCATCACCTGTTTACACGTACATGTTAAATATAAAGACAGTTAAAAGTAAAAGGACAGAGAAGGATATAACACACTAACATTAAGCAAAAGAAAACAAGAGTTGCTATGTTAGTATCAGACAAAGTGGAAGATAAAACCAAGAGTATTTCAAAAAATAAGGGGGATCATTTTACAGTAATAAAGAGGTTAATGCATCAGGAAAATATAATAATCCTAAATGTTTATATTCCCAAGAGAAACTTTAAATTGCATGCTGCAAAAATTAATAAAACTGCAAAGAAACAGGGGCACCTGGGTGGTTCACTGAGTTAGGACTCTGCCTTCAGCTCAAGTCATGATCTCAGGGTCCTGGAATCGAGCCCTGCATCCGGCTCTCTGCTCAGCAGGGAGCCTGCTTCCCCCTCTATCTCTGTCTGCCTCTCTGCCTACCTGTGATCTGTCAAATAAATAAATAAAAATCTAAAAAAAAAAAAAAACTGCAAAGAAACAGACAAACTTACGATTATACTTGGACATTTCAATGTGTCTCTAAATAATTTATAGAACAAGTAGATAGAAAATCATAAAGGATACAAAAGGTACAAAAGAACAACACCATCAACCAAACTGACCTGAATGACATTTATAAAATACTCCCAACAATAGCTGAATAAACATTCCTTTCATGTGTACAAAGAACACTTAATAAGATGGGGGAAGGGGCCATGTGTGCAGCTCTGGTTTGTCTGCCCTGCACTCCCCCTGGGCCACTGGGGTGAGCGGTTCCTTAGGGGCAGTGAGTGGAGGGAGAAAGGTGGAGAACTGTCTAGAGCAGTGCAGACAAGAGTCCTCCTCCTTCCTCCTTCAGTGTCTCTGAAATCCCCACAGGGGATCTGATGGCCACTGCAGGGTCCTACTTGCAGCCACAAGCCTATGAAGCAGTCACCTTTTGCTCTGGCTGAAGGGGAATCAAGGTTCTGAGACGGACAACTCTCTTCTTGACACATTGTATATTTGTATATAAAATATACAAAATATATAATGTAAGGAAATATATAATGTAAGGAAAATGAGTAAACATTTGTTAAATCCTTATATTACAAGGAATAAAGACATAGGCAATTCATGAAACTAACACTTTCGTTTAAAAATAAGCATTCACAAAAGTAATTTATCAACACACTAATGAAGTTATAATAAATGTTCAAGAATACAAAGAAAAAAAATTCCTTCCTTTTGAAAAAATGTTATAAAGATAAATTTCTTTAAAATAGACAGATTTTCTTTCCTCTGTAAATTAAGAATAATAAGTAAGTATAAACCAATGTACCTACCTCTCACATGGTAACAGTTGCATTACTTTAAGCCCCTCACCTTATGAGCTGCAAAACTGGATTCATTTTTTTCTAGTGCTCTTTTTGCATACTCTAGGGCTTCATAAATCAGGAGTTTTTTCTCCTCTTCTGAGGTCCCACTAAGCTGAGCTATATCACGTGATGCCCGTGCCAATCGCCACAGTAACTCTGCATCTTCACTAATTTGAAATAAATATAAGATAACCATTTTAGCTCATATTTAAAAACTGTTAAAAGTCACATCACTAATGAATACATGTAACGGTCTTTCAGGTCAGTGAGGATATAGCAGTATCAAAAGCCATTATTCATAATGTTGTATTTTCACATAAAAACTTTATTTGCTAAAATTTCCTACAAAATATCCGGTATTATACATAAATATTAACTCTCCTATATCATCTAAAATACTAACTTCCTGGGGCACCCGGGTGGCTCAGTCAGTTAAACGTCTGCCTTCGGCTCAGATCATAATCCCAGGGTCCTGGGATGCAGGCTCCCTGCTTCTCCCTCTTCTGCTGCTGCTCCCCAACCTCTGCTTGTGCTCTCTCACTCTCACTCTCTCTCAAATGAATAAATAAAATCTCTAAATAAATAAATAAAATACTAACTTCCTTAGAATGAATTCTTTAAATATTTGCACTACAAAATTCAACATATAACTTAAGGCTTGAGACACTTCAGACAACTCACTAACTGGCTCAGATAGTACCATAAAATCCACAAACTTTGGAGAGCAGGTCATGCTCTACAAAACAAAACTGCTATATCCCTAGCCCCAAATATAGTAACTGGCACATAATAGGTGTATGGTAATTATGTGTTAATAAATAAATGATTGAATATAACAGAATCTCAAAATAAATCTTATGTTTGAATGTGTCATCCATGCCATGATGCATGGAAATATTTGAAGGGCACTAGACTCCTTGAAGAATTCCCATAGGAATATACTTATATAAAATAAGAAATGGGGGGCGCCTGGGTGGCTCAGTGGGTTAAAGCCTCTGCCTTCGGCTCAGGTCATGATCTCAGGGTCCTGGGATCGAGCCCCGTGTCGGGCTCTCTGCTCAGCAGGGAGCCTGCTTCCCTTCCTCTCTCTCTGCCTGCCTCTCTGCCTACTTGTGATCTCTGTCAAATAAATAAAATCTTGTAAAAAAAAAAATAAATAAATAAAATAAAATAAAATAAGAAATGGTTAATAAAATAGTAATCACAATTAAGAGTTAGAAATATTTTTAAAAACATTAAAACTCCTTTTTATCCTTTTTATTAAATGTTTGCCTTTAAGCCCATTATATATTTAACAAAAAACGGTATTCACATAAAATTTTGAAACTAAAGGTAGCAATAGTGTATTTATAATTAAATAAAGATGGAGTAACTATCTTACAACTTACTTTTCAAGTAATTACTGAATTGTCTATAAAATGCCAAACATGACACTACAAGTAACTAAGGGGAAAATGGAGAAGAAAAAGTGGATCTATAGACATTTAAGAAGCAAAATTGATGGGTCATGAAGAGAGAACTGATCTTAGGAATCTAAGAAAGGTAGCTGAAAATGACAACATTTTTAGTCTAGGATTAGGTAGATTTGTGGTCTGGAAATGCCAATTTAGCCTTATTAAGCCTATTTTATCGGGCAGAATCTCCTTCCACCTACATTTTCCCAAAAACTGACGGCTTTTCCCAAAAACTGATACTCTGGACTAATGTAATCTATATACTAAATCTATATACCATGTAATCTAATACTAAAAATAGAAAAAGGTATTTTTAGTTTCTCTAAAAAACTGCTTCTAGAGTGATACACACATACTATACAATGATGCCATACAAAAATCCTAATTCATTTACATCTTATGTCAATAAGAAATTAACTTAAAAAATGAGAAATATACAATATAGATAACCATATATTCAACAACTACCTCATATGGTCCAAAGCAAAATAACAAAATGGAAAAAAATGAGTAAGGAGAGTCACTTTTTCTAAATCGATGAGATACATGTGGCACTTGTGAATCATTTACTGTAAGAAACATACTATAAATTAAACTCTAAAAATTTTGCAGTAAAAACTTCAAAAATTATAAAAATTTCAAGCACCAGGAATCATTTTAATTGTTAAATAACATAGATTTTGAGGAAACTGCAAACCCAGGCTTATCATACATTGCCTACCTTTCCTTGTATTGGGTCAGCAACTGATAAAGTTTTTCTGTTTCTCCACTCTCATATAGGTAGTCTGCTTGCTCAAGAATTTCTTCAACTCTGAAGACTAAAAATGAAACAAAGACACAATAAAGTAGGCTTTCCCAAGCCAAACAGCAACAAATCTAAGAAACATTTTCATATATAAGCAAAAGAAATTAGATATAAAAATCACCTAAAAATAAGGATCAGAAATTCTGAAGAATCTAGACGTAAGTGTAGTAGAGATAAAGATGAAGTTATCACAATAAGTGACTTATTGAAACCACAAAAATTAAAAAAATTAGAAAACTTATTGTGGAACTAACCAAATATGATATGTTTTCAAAAATGAAGATGCAATTTCTTGTGAGGAATTTATGGTACCCTTACCCTCCACACAATCTCTTTGTTGTTGTTGCTAAGTGTCATCCATTGCAGAAAATAACGAGATATAACATCCATTTCCAGCACTGAAAATTATTAATTTGCAGGGACTACACCATACTGTTTCACTAGATTTCTCTTTATGACCTAACTTATCAGTATTATGGAAAAAGAGTCAAATTTATCATTGAGGGGTGCCTGCGTGGTTCAGTTGGTTAAGTGGCTGCCTTTGGCTCAGGTCATGATTTCAGGGTTCTGGGATCAGGCCCCATGTTGTCATGGTTGGGCTCCCTGCTCAGTGGGGAGTCTGCTTCTCCCCTCTCCCTCAATTCCCTTCTTCCCTCCCCACTCATGCAGGCACTCTCCCACTCTCTCACTCAAATAAGTAAAATCTTTAAAGAAAAATTTGTCATCAAAAACTTAGATTAATTTAATTACACAGAGCATCTGAAATTACCTCACTAGCACTCTGCTCCAACCAACTCATTAACTTATTTATACATTACTACAAAATATATAAAACATTTTGTTTAAGGCAATGTAATGCTCTAACAGCATATTTCAGGTTGAATTTAAGTTTTGAAAAATTAAAGCCTAGATCAGAAAAAAAAAATCTTCTTAATTTTACACAACAAAATGAAGTACTTTTTACTCAGTTAACATCATAATGTAATTATAAAACTAGTTTAAAGAAATTAAATGACAGGGCCTCTGGATGGCTCAGTCGGTTAGGCATCTGCCTTCGGCTCAGGTCATGATCCCAGGGTCCTAAGACTGAGTCCAGCATTGGGCTTCCTGATCTGCAGGGAGCCTCCTTCTCCCTCTGTCTCTCTTTCTCTCATGAATAAATAAATAAAATCTTAAAAAAATAAAAATAAAACGACAACAACAAATTCTTCTTTAATCCTACTTCAATCTGGTTAGGTGTCATAGTTCAATATTCATATGGCTGGTTGATTTTCTTAGGTTTGCTTCCATTTCATTTTACATTTTTATCAGTGGCTGATTCTCCAAATTAAGGTTATAACAACCCAAAGATTTTTTTTTTTAAGATTTTATTTTTTTAAGTTATCTCTACACTCAACCTGGGGCCGAACTTACAACCCAGAGACCAAGAGTTGCATGCTCTACACCAACTGAGCCAGCCAGATGCCCCATAAACCCAAAGATTCTTTTTTTTTTTTTTTAAAGATTTTATTTATTTATTTGTCAGAGAGAGAGAGCAAGAGTGAGCACAGGCAGATAGAGTGGCAAGCAGAGGCAGAGGGAGAAGCAGGCTCCCCGCCGAGCAAGGAGCCCGATGTGGGACCCGATCCCAGGACGCTGGGATCATGACCCGAGCCGAAGGCAGCCACTCAACCAACTGAGCCACCCAGGCGGTCCCAAACCCAAAGATTCTTAAAAAGAGAAAACAGTAATCTTAGCATTCTTCATCAGTATTTGTGGTAGGTAGAATAATGGCCCTAAAATGTCTACATCTTAACCCCTAGAACATGTGAAAGCATAGAGGTTACATGGGAAAGGGGAATTAAGTTTGTAACTAGAATTAAGGCTATTCATCAGCTAACCTTAAAACAGGAAATGATCCTGGGGATTAGCCAGGGGGCCTAATATAATCACAAGAGGCCTTCAAAGTGGAAGAGGAAGGCAGAAGAAGGAAGTCAGAGGAGGTATAACAATGAAAACAAGGCCAGAGTGAAATGATTACTGGCCTGGAATATGGAGGAAATAGGTCTTCAGCTAAGGAATGTGGAAAACCTCTAGAAACTGAAAACAAGGAAAAAGATTCTCCCCTATAGCCTGGAACACAGCCTTGCCAACTTGTGGATTTTAATCCAGTGGGACCCACTTTGGACTTCCGAACTACAGAACTGTAAGATAATAAATTTATGTTGTTCTAAGTTATTAAGTTTGTGGTAATTTGTGACAGCTGCTGTGACAGAAAGCTTATACAATATTAAATATATTGATGTGGCATATTTGAATGTATACATGGTATGTGTAAATAACAAAGTTACATTTAATTCTATTCATTGACTCTTCTCAGACTTTCTGAGAAGACTGATAGAGATTACTGTCCTTAACATGATCTAGGAATGCTGCATCTCATCACCCACGTAATTAAAAGAAAAATATAGAAATTAAGTGAATAATTTAAAATAGTTTAAATCCTTTTCGTGTATACTATTCCTTCTTAACATCTTAAATCACTTATCTATTTTTTATTATACAGCATAGTACCATAAGCTGTAATATCTATGCTTTAAATATGTGGTTTTTTCCCTTGATTCTTAAATAGAAATTTCAAAAATCATACAGTGTGCAACTTACCAGGAAAAAATGCACTTGCTCTGATACTACAAACTCACATAGGTACTAGATGGGAGCATGTAGACCACTCATATCTGCAAATCAGCTGTATGGGGTTTTTTTACTTGTTTAATGCTCTGTACTTTTCCTGAAAATATTTAAAAATAAGCTATGTTACTGACATAAAGAGACCATACTGTTAAAATGGACTAAACTTTTAAAGTAAATGTAACAATGAATATCCCAAGATGAACGGAGACATTAATTCATCTGTACAAAATCTAAATTTAGCCTAAAATGAATATGCCCAAGATCGTAATTCTCAGAATTTTTAAAAATGTCATTGATATGACACGAGTTAGTGAACTTTGGTCTACTTGTTTTCTTGCTCCGTGTACTCTCAGCCACGTGAGATGTATCTGGACAAAAAAATACTCCTCAAAGTAAGCAAAACTGTTCTATTTCTGGAAACTTCTCCCTATAAGAAATTATAAAGTAGAAAATGAGCATCTAGATTCTTCAGATACTTGAGGATTTTTCTCTGATGCTAGAAGGCTCTAAGTAGCAACAACATAATCAAAATTTATGGCAAATTTTCAGACCAACAATACTGTGTCTCAGGAGCACTGGAAACAGCACCTCTTGAGACGCCCTGTAGTAGTTATAAAGGAATACAGAAGAAGGAGCACTCACCCCGGGTCTGCAGACTGATCAAAGTGGAATCAATGAAAGTGTATGAAAAGAGCCAATTGAAGTGATTATATGAAGAACCTTTACTTAAGATGGGCCACTTGATTTATCTTTTAGGCATTTTACAAGTGAACTTTCACACACACACACGAGTACTGTGACTGTAGTGGCATACCTTGAAGGGCTTTAAATTTTATCTATTTTAAAGAAATAATAAAAAACTTCCTACTGGAATTTTTCAATTATGGCTGATAAGTAGGTATATGCCCTATCCTGTGGTAAATATAGATGATACCATTTTAAGAGTCCCACAACCCCAACCAACTGAAATGTCAAAACATACATATGTCCTTGAGGCGCTTGGGTAGCTCAGTCAGTTAAGTGGGTGCCTTTGGCTCAGGTCATGATGTCTGGGTCCTGGGATAGAGCCCCATACCGGGCTCCCTGCTCAGCAGTAGAGTCTGCTTCTCCCCTCCTCTCTTCTGCCTGCCACTCCCCCTACTTGTGTTTCTCTATCAAATAAACAAATGTTTAACCAAAAAAAAAAATCCTTAAACCTAGTTTGTCTTGAATCCAGCAACCTTGCTGAACTTTGCTAAAAATAAAAATATGTATATGCCCTTAATTGTTAAAAATGATTCAGAATACGATTGTATCCCAATAAATGAAGGAGGAAAAAATGTTTTAATTGGCCTCAATGAGAATGAAATAGCCCTAAAGAGAAGTAAGCAGGGTTTTTTTTGTTTTTTTTTAAAGATTTTATTTATTTATTTGACAGACAGAGATCACAAGTAGGCAGAGAAGCAGACAGATAGAGAGAGGTGGAAGCAGGCTCCCTGCAGAGCACAGAGCCCGATGTGGGGCTCGATCCCAGGACACTAGGACCATGACCTGAGCCAAAGGCAGAGGCTTTAACCCACTGAGCCACCCAGGTGCCCCCGAAGTAAGCAGTTTTGATGAGCAAAATTATCTGAAGACCATTTCCTAAAAAATACGAAAAATAAAGATCACAGTATAGCAAATAGGAGAGAGATATAAGCCAAAGTAAAACTTGTAAGGACCGATGAAATTATAGTTTTACAGAAACATGGATCATTTTCCAAGTTTAAAAGAATCTGATCTCCATATTTTATCAATAACTAATGTTTTTTCAAGGGCTTTGGCCTAGCCGCACAAATTATAATGGACATGCCAATCAACTAATTATAAAGTGACATTTTATTTAAGAAAACAAAGCTAAAGAAAAATCAAAGCAAGCTAAATCAAAATCCATACTCTGTTCTTTGTATCTACTTTCTAAGTGCTCAAAATATGCTTGAAAACACAGGAAGGATTCTGTAATATAAGACAATTTTCCTTAAAATCTATAATAAAGCCAGTTTAGTTTTCAGAATAAGTTATACCTTGTAATATTAAAATGTTATTTTTTTAAGGTCAAATCAAGGTTTCATCTGGAGTTAGGACTGGAACTAACATTTAGAATTGTTTGTATAAACTTTTACTTTTACATTTGTAGAGGAAGTTATAATTTTTTTAAAAGCATATAAATGAATATATATATATATATATATATATATGTATGTATGTGTGTGTATATATATATATATATATATATATATATATATATATATATATATGCCAGCCAGAATGAAAGAATTAGCATATACTGGCTGAAAAGAACCAGAATTTCTGTAACACACTAAACACATACATCATTCTTCTAGACCAAATAGCAACCATACACACACATGAATTCAAGTTTATTTAGAAGTTTGATATACAGGGGTGCTTGGGTGGCTCAGTGGGTTAAGCCTCTGCCTTCAGCTCAGGTCATGATCTCAGGGTCCTGGGGATCAAGACCCACATTGGGCTCTCTGCTCAGCAGGGAGCCTGCTCCCCCCCCACCACCTGCCTCTCTGCTTACTTGTGATCTCTGTCTGTCAAATCAATCAATCAATCAATCAAAAGTTTGATATACAATCCTACAACTACTATCTCTCCTTTAATAACTTCAGGATGGTAGCTCTAAACAACTTTAAAGCTTGTTCTCTTTCTAAATTTCCCAAAGTTTTTCTGCACTCTTTCTCAAACAGATTCCTCTTCAGGGGTCAGCTTTATCTTATTAAGGTTTGCAATACCATTCCCTCCCAGGATACAAGGAACACTAACGAACACTTCATTTATTTCATAGAGGCCTTTCGTTAATAGTGGAAACTGGATGCACTCTCCTAAGATTCTTCAAAATGTTTCCCGTTAAGTCAGCTACAGTGAGGCAAACAGCCCAATTACTATAACCTTTTATTTTAACCATCTCACAACCACAGGTTATCACTTCTCTGTGGACATTTTCCCAGTCATCAGGATCTTTATCTGTTCCTATATCTGAATTCAGATCCTTCAAGAGGATACCAGCAATGTTAACTCCACTCCACACATGTACACCCAAGTCTCCATGTTCTCCAAGGATCCATGCTTTCTGAGTGGAAACTAAGTCTTTGCCCAATAAAGAAATGGAAACGGACAGTGTCCAGATTACGGCCACTTCCAATAATACGGTTTTGGGGAACTGCACTCAATTTCCAAGATACGTTAAGATATCCACTGGATTGGAAACAACTATCATTTTGCACTGGGGACTATACCAGGTAATGTTGGAAATCATTAATTTAAAGATGGACACATTTCTCTTAACTACATCAAGGCATGTTTCTCCTTTTCCTGGGCGTGCACCCGCTGTCATAATCACTAGGTTGGAGTTTGCAGGGACATGGTAATCTTTGCTGGAAACAATATATGGCATTTTCATGAAAGAGCTGCCATGTTGAAGATCCACTGTCTCACCCTTCATTTTGCCTTTATCAGCATCCACAAAGGCAAGTAAGTCATCACTCAAGCCTTTTAATAAGATGCTGATAGCACATGCTATGCCAACTGATCCAGTTCCTATAGTAGAGATCTTACTGTGATAAATGGTCTCCTCTGAAGTTAAATTCTTAGTAAATTCACACCTGACAGTTCCCATTTTGGAGACAGGGATGAAGGACCTACTGTCCCTTAGGGGGGGTGCATGCCACCTGACAGGGACGCAAAACCATCCCTAGGCAAAAGACATTCACTCCTACAGGGCCTAGTCTCTGGCTTGCCTGCAGGACTCCCCCAGCCCAGCTCATAGCAGCTGGCTCAAGAGGTGAAGGAAGGGAATGGAGGAAAGCCACATCAAAGTTCTCTGAAGTGCAAAGTAAGGAAACAGCTGAAAGTTTAACGTACTACTTCCCGACCCCAGCTCGGACTGCTGCACCCAGCGAGGAATGCCACTGTGGGATCACATCCAGTTCTCAAGCCCAATCTCAGTTCGTGCAGTCCCCCACAAGGGTCCAGCACCTTAAAATGTTTTTTAATTTACTGAAACTGCAGTGATTTTAAATAAAAGCACTTTTGAAAAAATGGACTATCACCATTAAAGGTTAAAGTTAACTTCAGCTTTGCTTTTCAAAGTGCCATATTTTACATCTTTGCACTCATTTCTGTACAGAAAGGGTGCTAAAGCACACTGAAACTAAGTGTGACAGACCAAAAAAAAAAAAAAAGATTGGAGTACTAATCTCTGCTCTGACACTTTGACTTTGAAGAAGTTAAACTGCGAACTTCTTTTTCAAAAGTTAATACTATAGGGGCACCTGGGTGGCTCAATGGGTTAAGCCTCTGCCTTCAGTTCAGGTCATGATCTCAGGGTCTTCGGATCGAGCTCCACATCAGGCTCTCTGATCAGTGGGGAGCCTCCTTCCCCCCTCTCTGCCTACTTGTGATCTCTCTGTCAAATAAATAAATAAAATCTTAAAAAAAAAATTATTGAAAAAAAAGTTAATACTATAATGCGTGGAACCTGGCTAGTTCAGTCAGTAGAGGTCCTGACTCTTGATCTCTAGGTCCTGAGTTCCAGCCCATGTTGGGTACAGAGTTTATAAAAAAATAAATAAATAAAAATAAAAAAATAAAAAACAGAAAAACAAAAATAAAACAAATCAAAAACACCTAAGATGGAACACACACAAACACACAGAGAAAAATATTATAACAGCAACCACTGGGCACATCTCTCAGGGATACATTTTAAAAAATTATTATCGCGTCATAATACAGTTTGTCCTTACTACTTTACAAGGTTGCCGTGAGAACTGAAGTTAGGTGAAAACTCTAGGGAACCAAGTCCTCTACTTTATCCATCATAAAAATTATATGTTTAAAAAAAGGAAAGATAAAACAAAAACAATTGTCAATTATCTGCTCTTTTTTTTTTTTTTAGATTTTATTTTATTTTTTTATTCATCAGAAACAGAGAAAGAGGCAGAGGGAGAAGTAGGCTCTCTGCAGAGCAGGGAGCCTGATATGGAACTTGATCTGGGATCATGACCTAAACTAAAGGCAGTCACTTAACCAAATGAGCCATCCAGGCACCCCTTATCTGCTCTTTTAAAGACAAGAATAATCATGGGAAATTGAAATCAATGACTAGCAGTTTTTATCTAATATCCTCATATTCATCTATTACAACTTTAATAAGAACATCTATTCAAAATAAAATCTCTGCTTCTTTCCCCAATCATTTCTTAATGATTAAAAGGTGGGGACTATAAAAAACAAAAAAGCTTGATACATAAATTAAAAATTTTTCTCTAATATACTAAAATTTTGCCTCTGTCAACACACACAACTGGTTTAATTAATGTCTTTTAAATATGGCAAGTCTTGTTATGTACTTACCTGAAGTATATCAAATAAGAAATATGATAGAGTTTTTCTATTTTTCAATCAGTTACTTGATATTTAATACTAAACTGCATTTTGTTTGTAAAAAAAAAAAAATAGTAATACTAGAAAATACTTTCACCTCAAAGTAATTGGGCCTTTCTTAACTATATCAAGAAGAGTGTAATACCTTGGAATTAAGGAAACAAAAGAATTATTGTGTCATAAGGGCCAGATATAGATATAATCTCCGTGTTATATCCCTCTCTCCCAATCCCTCAACCCCTTATAAATGTAAAAAACATTCTTAGTCCAAAGGTCCCATAAAACTACAAAGTATTAAAAGAGTATTTCCAGGGCACCTGGGTGGCTCAGTCGTTAAGCGTCTGCCTTCGGCTCAGGTCATGACCCCAGGATCCTGGGATCAAGCCCTGCATCGGGCTCCCTCTCCCACTCCCACTGCTTCTGTTCCCTCTCTTGCTGTGTCTCTCTCTGTCAAATAAATAAAATCTTTATAAATAAATAAATAAAAGAGTATTTCCCACTGAAGGAGCTGTAGTTGCTGTAAGAAATTACAAATACACACACACATATATATTCACACAGAGATATAAACATACAGATATAATATATATAACACATATATATAAAATCAGACTCAATGAATAGAGAGAAAGCAGAAATATTAGAACAAAGTTTCATTATTCAAAAATAACTCAAAGTTACTAACAAAATATAACAAACATAATTAACTCTAAGTAGTACATATATTTAGCTTAGGCTTACCTTTGGCTGTGGCATGAACCATAGCAGCCTGGGAAAATACTTGGTATGCTTCAAAACCCAAATAAGGTAAAGCTGAGAATAAAAGGCTTCTTTTGAAAGCTCCTAGATTTTCCATCACCTGTGGAAACAATTATGGTCAGAATTAAATCAAAAGCAAAATGTTGAAGGAATAGCTACCTTAAGCAAAAATTACATCAATTAAAAAAAAAATTACAACTTTCTTCTACCCCTAAAGCAATCAATCCTAAATAGAATATTGGAAGCTCAAAATGTACTTCATCAAATTCTTCACTAAAACTATTTCACAAATCTTGCCATTTGCAACGGATGTGGATGGAACTAGAGGGTATTATGCTGAGTGAAATAAGTCAATCAGAGAAAAACAATTATCATATGATCTCTCTGATAAGAGGAATTTGAGAGGCAGGTGGGAGGTTGTGGGGGGTAGGGAAGGAGAAAATGAAACAAGATGGGATCAGGAGGGAGACAACCATAAGAGACTCTTAATCTCACAAAACAAACTGAGGGTTGCTGGGGGTGGGGGGGTAAGGAGAGGGTAGCTGAGTTATGGACATTGGGGAGGGTATGTGCTATGGTGAGTGCTGTGAAATGTGTAAGCCTGATGATTCACAAACCTGTACCCCTGGGGCAAATAATACATTATATGTTAATAAAAATAATATAAAAAACAAAAAAACTATTTCACATAGTTACATTAGAGGGAGAGCATACTCTTAAGAAAAGATTCTTAACAATGGCTAAGGCTAACAATAGTAATTTATCTAAAAATAACAGTCATGCTAAGTGCTGGACTACAAGATCTACGTTTTATTTGAGGAGACATGGATATTATAACTATGAAATAAAATATGAGATACTAATATACAATAAGTACCAATCCTAAGACTAGACAAGATGAAAAATATCAAATATGGTGATTACTACATATAAAAATGTACATGGATTTAAAGATATCTTCAAAACCCACAGTTTTGAAATAAACAATGAATAAAATAAAGAGCATATCCAAACAGATTCGTAAATTAATTTTCAGTATTATGGCCAGAATTCTCAAGACCAATGGCAAAAGAGTATACAGATATCACTCTACCAATTCTTTCCTACAACAGTTTGTTCTCTTTCACAAGATAGTAACCTTTTCGCCCTTTCTGTTGATTCATTCCCACTGATATAAAAACAAGCTATACTATCTTTATAAGTCATTATTTCTCCCTTAAAAACAAAGAGCTTCCTCTTGAATTCACTCCTCCCTTTAGTCTCATTTCTAACTTCTCTTTTCAGCAAAACTTTTAAAAAGTTATCAGTACTCTGTCTCCACTTTCTCTCTCGGACTCACACAAATCACTTTTATCCCCACAACACCCACTCATGGTATTCCAGTTAAGGTAATCAAGGACTCCTATAGTCAATTCTGAATTCTCAGCTTCCTTGACCTATCAACAGTATTTGACAGCTAATCACTTCCTTTTTTTTTTTAAGTTATGAATGGAAGTTTAATTTTTTTTAAGATTTTATTTACTTATGTGAGAGACAGTAAGAGAGAGCATGAACAGGGGAAGGGGCAGAGGGAGAAGCTGGAAGCATGATGCACAGCTCCATGCAGGGACTCCAGGATCATGACCTGAAGGCAGATGCTTAACTGACTGAGCCACCAAATTGCCCCTGGATGTTTAATTTTTTTAAAACATCTTTATGGAGGGGCACCTGGGTGGCTGTCAGTTAAGCCTCTGCCTTTGACTCAGGTCATGATTCCAGGGTGCTGGGATCCAGCACTGCACTGGACTCTCTGCTCAGCAGGGGTGTCTGCTTCCCCCATGCCCTCTGCCCCTCCCCCGACCTGTGCACCCCTCTCTTTTTTCAAATAAAATAAAATCTTTAAAAAAAATAAAAGTTTTATTGACATATAAGGACATACTATAAATTGTATATACATAACATGTACAATTCATTAAGGCATGCATATAAACCCATGAAACCATCACTATCACCACAATCAAGATAAAAGATATCTGTAAACCCCTCCCCCCTCATCCTCAAGCTTCTCTGTAATACATCCAGCCCCTTTCCTCAGCACTTGCTGGTTGTCTCACTCTTGAAACACTTTTCACTTGGCTTTTGGAACACTACTATCATTCATTTTCTCTGGCTTCAACAGCTGCTGCTTTTCTTTGGTTGGTTCCTCCCTAGCCAGGTGTGTTTTGGGCTTTGTCCCCAGACCTTCTTTTTTCTACTTCTATCATTTTGGTGATTTTGTCTTTAAATAGCATCAATGTGCCAAAAACTGACAAATGTAATATGAAGCCTGGGTGACTCCTCTAAACTTCAGAATCATATATCCAGCAGCTTAATCAACATCTATCTCCACATGAAGCAAAACAAGTATCTCACATTTATTAGCCAAAACAGGTACTATTTCCCTCAACTTTACCCACCTCACAACTCTCCCTTTCATGTTAAAAAGCAACTCTTTCCTCTATTAGGTTAAAAAAACAAAGAAGCAAACCAAAAACCTTGTAGCCATTCTTGACTCTCTCACAGGACTTATATCTGACCCATATTTTAACTTTTCATAAGGATCGAGGATAGGAATGAGGAATCCAACATATTCCAATTTGCTGAGTGCTTTACTTTCTTGCGCATGAATATTCAAGATATTACACACAACTGGATTCAAAACAAATCAACAGCAAAACAGGAAAACTGAATTTGACATAATCACAATTTTAACATTTAATTTTTTGAGTTTATTCATATTTACCAAAGAGAAGCAAGATGGGTTTAGGAGCCGAGGGTTTGGGGATGTGGATCTACGGTGCTGGTACTTAAAAGAAAAAGACTAAAGATATCATCAGTAAGTTTCCTGATTCCCCACTTTTTTAAGATTTTATTTATTTGTTTGACAGAGGGAGAGAGATCACAAGTAGGCAGAGCAATAGACTTCTGCTGAGCAGAAAGCCCGATGAGGGCTCCATCCCAGGACCCCGAGATCATGACCTGGGCTGAAGGCAGAGGCTTAACCCACTGAGCCACCCAGATGCCCCTGGTTCCCTATTTTTATGGCAGGTATATCACATGTATGAAAAGTTTGCATAGACTATTATAGCTTGAGAAAACTACACATTCATGGTGTTCAACTCCCTTGCTGGTATTATGCTCAACAATATTGTGGCTTTCTGAGAGTGGAGAAAATTCGCTGTTGGGCAGCTGACATTTGTATTTCTTACTGTAAATTAATAAAGTGACAGTTTTCCAGTGGGGCTCTGACTAATTTAGTTATGTAAAGCATCTTTCTGCTCATCTGTGAGAAAACAGATAAAAATCATGTTTCGGAACTAAAAAACCAATTAAAATAATCAGGACTCAGTGACCCCTGAAGATACTAACAACTTGTGAAACTGTCTGAGACAGCTTGAATGTGCCATTTTACTTTGCACCTTCAATACCTGACAATGCCTTTCACATAAAAATTCTCAAAAAGTATTTGTTGAACCAAAGAGGCTATCTCTTAGATAAGACTTTTCTTCAACACTAATTATACTAAGTTCAAGTTAGAAGGAATTCCAAAATACAAACTCATCACTAGACGGAAAGGAATGTGTCCCTACCATCTCCCAGTTTTCCTCCTAATTTTCTGTCAGCTCCTCCTTCTCTTAAATATTGGAATTCCCCCATGGTAGGTACTTGGCCTTCTTCTAGTCTTACTATAAAGTACTTTTAACATCTACCATGTTCTCATTTACAATCATATGTTAATGACCCCTGAATCTGGATCTCCAGCTCAGACCTCAGAAGGTAAACACCAGACCTATCCAACTACTATCTATGCTATATGTCAACTTAGTTATCTTATCGGTCACTATAACTAGACCAAAACATAGCCCAAAACATCTCATCTCCCTCTTTGCCACCCCACCTCAACTGCTTCTATAGCCCTATTCCAGTAAAGAGCATCACCATCCATCCTACTGCTCTAGCCAGAAACTTGAGATCTTCCTTGACTCTTTCCTTTGAACTCCCACATCAAAGCTATTTTTTAGGTCCACTAAGCTTATTACATCCTTAACGTACTTTGAATGCATCCACTTATTTCCATTTCCATGATAACCATTAAAGTTCAAATCACCAGATTTCTCACTGTACTATACTAATCATCGCTTATCTGGTCTATAGCATCCACTCTAACCCATCCATTCTTGACCCTAGACAAAGTTATTTTTTTTTTAACATCATTTTGATCAATTGATTTCCCTGTTTAAAACTTTTTTGTGGTTTCCTGTAATCTTTAGAATAAAAATCCGAAATACTTAACATTGTTTATAAGGTTTTCTGAATCTGGTTCAAGTAAGCAGAATTTAAAATGGCCCGTAATGGGTTTGGTTCAAGACCGCAATGTAGGAGGATCCTGAACATCCATCCTCTCACGGAGACACCAAATTGCAGCTACATGCCAAACAATTTCCTCTGAAAGAAACCCCCAAAAAGACAAGCCATACCATGCATCTTTTTGGAACACACACACACACACACACACACACACACAATCTGGAAAAGAGCACGAATACATGAAGTAGCACGAATAATGTGCTATTGAACAATAAATGAGTCAACCAGGGAATCAAAGAAAAAATAAAAAAATACATGGGGACAAATGAAAATGAAAACACAACAGTTCAAAATCTTTGGGATGCAGCAAAAGCAATTCTAAGAGGGAAATTTATAGCAATACAGACCTACCTCAAAAAACAAGAAAAATCTCAAGTAAAAAACCTAATCTTACATCTTAAGGAGCTAGAAAAACAAGAAACAACAAAACCCAAATCCAGCAGAAGGAAGGAAACAGTAAACATTAAAGCAGAAATAAATTATGTAGAAAGTAAAAAAACAATTGAATAGATCAATGAAACCAGGAGCTGGTTCTCTGAAAGATCAACAAAACTGAGAAACTCGTAGATTCGTTGCGAGAGAGCAGGGAGTCAAAATCAGAAACTAAAGAGGAGAAATAACAACTGACATCTCAGAAATACAAAGGGTTATAAAAGAATATTATGAAAAATCATGCCAACAAACTGGACAACCCAGAAGAAATGTATATAATCT